TCTCTACTAAAAATACAAACATTAGCCAGACCTGGTGGCAGGTACCTGTAATCCCAGCTACCTGGGAGGCCGAGGCAGGAGAATTGCTTGAACTCGGGAGGCAGAAGCTGCAGTGAGCCATGATCACACCACTGCACTCCCGTCTGGGCGACAGTGAGACTCTGTCTCAAAAATAATAATTTTAACTCCTAGTTTAGATTTTGGGGGTACATGTGTGACTTTATTACAAAGGTATATTGCATGATGCTGCGGTTCGGGGTACAATTGATCTTGTCCCCCAGGTAGTGAGCATAGCCCCCAATAAGTAGCTTTGGAGCCCCCCCTTTTCCTTCTCTCCCTGCTTTTGAAGGCCTCGGTGTCAGTCATTCCCATCTTTATGTCCATGAGTGCCCAACGTTCAACTCCCTCTTACAGGTGAGAACATGTGGAATTTGTTTTTCTGTTCCTGTGTTAATTTGCTTAGGATAATGGTCTCCAGCTACATCCGTGTTGTTGCAAAGGACATGGTCTTGCCCTTTTTTATGGCTGCATAGTATTCCACAGTGTGCGTGCACCACACTTTCTTCATCCGTTCTCCTGTTGACGGGCACCTGGGTTGATCCCATGTCTTTGCTACCTTGAATAGTGCTGCAGGGAATAGATGTGTCTGTCACCTTTTTAAGGGAAGTTGACTTTTTGAACCCAAAGGATGTACATTTGGGACATTTCTCTTCCTTGTAAGTGTCTGTGTTTTTTGGCTGCTCAGAGAGGTGTCTGGGCTCCTGTTCCCGTCGCTTGCTGTGTTGCGGGGTGACCAGCCATCCTAGGTGGCCTGGACTGAGGGGTTTTCCAAGAGACAGAACTTTCTGTCTAAACAGGAAGGTTGAGCTGGGCCTGGTCGGCTGTGTGTCAGCAACGCATGTGAGAGCTGGTCTGTCCCCTGCGTCGCTGTGAATGTGGGAAGCGCGGTCCTCCTGGTGCATGGTGACAGCAAAGACGTGTCTGGAGACAACAGCCCCCTTCCCCGCTGTGCACTGGCTGGGCTTCTTGTCTCTAAAATGGGCAACACTGGAGGAAGGACCATAGCTCATGCGGGCCAATGCTGCCGTCAGAATTTTTACTTTTTTTTTTTTTTTGAGATGGAGCCTCACTCTGTCACCCAGGCTGGAGTGCAGTGGCACAATCTCGGCTCACTGTAACCTCCGCCTGCCGGGTTCAAGCAACTCTCCTGCCTTGGCCTCCCAAGTAGCTGGGACTACAGGTGCACACCATCATGGCTGGCTAATTTTTTATATTTTCAGTAGAGATGGGGTTTCTCCATACTGGCCACGCTGGTCTCGAACTCCTGACCTCGTGATCCACCTATGTCGGCCTCCCAAAGTGCTGGGATTACAGGTGTGAGCCACTGCACCCTGCCAACTTTTTAAAAGTTTTTTAATGAAATGTCACTGTGTTGCCCAGGCTGGAATACAGTGGTGCCATCTCGGCTCACTGCAACCTCCACCTCCTGGGTTCCAGTGATTCTCCTGCCTCAGCCTCCCGAGTAGCTGGGATTACAGGTGCGTGCCACCATGCCCGGCTGATTTTTGTATTTTTAGTAGAGTCCAGGTTTCACCGTGTTGTCCAGGCCGGTCTCGAACTCCTGACCTCAAGGGATGTGCCTGCTTCACCCTCTCAAAGCACTGGGATTACAGACGTGAGCCACCGCACCCAGCCCTGCTATCAGAATTTTTATTTTTTATTTAAGAGACAGGGTCTTGCTCTGTCGCCCAGGCTGGAGTGCAATGGCACCAGCATAGCTTACTACAGCCTCAAGCTCCTTGGCTCAGGTAATCCTCCCACCTCGGCCTCCCAAGGTGCCAAGACTAAGCGTGAGCGTCCGCGCCCAGCCTCTGCCTTCATTTTCTGTTCAGGACCATTCCCACTTTACAAATGAAAAAACGCAGGGTTTCGGGACTCACCCGACGTGGCCCTAGCTGACCCGGGCCCAGGTCTTGTCTTCCTCCCATCTCCCCCGCTGCATGCTTGCTCCAGGCACGTGGAATCTGCCTCTCCCTCCATCTGACGCCCTGAACATTTGCAAGGAGTGGCTGTCTCTCTCCTTGCTCCCCAGGTGCATCCACCTGGGCTGTGGCTTGGGACAGAGGGTCCTACAAGCCCGGGTGACCGGGACAAGGAGCCAGGGATGGCCCACAGCCCAGCCCCCTTTTGCTCTCTCTCTCTCTCTGTGTCCCTCCTTCCTGGAGTCCCTGGTTCCTTCCTAAGTGGATTAGGGCCTTTGCCGGAAGGAGCCGGCCGCTGTCTGGGGCCGCCGGGAGGCCAGGGCTGGATTGCAGTCTGGTGCCTCCTGCTTTGCCCTGATTCGATTTGGGCCTCAGCAGCTGGGAGGCTGGCAGCCCTAAGGCCTTTCTGGGAATGGCTCAAGGGACTGGCTGGCAGGGGGTGGCTGGAGGGAGGGGGACGTCTTACAGCCCCCAGGCCGGCAGACCTCTCAGCTAGATCTTTTATGAAGTCCAGTGGCATGCAGGACCCTCCGCGGGCTTCATGCCACGAAGTGTCCCCAGCCGTGGCCACTGGCCACCTCTGGGTTCATCAGCGGGCCCCATCCGTGGCCTGTGTCCCACCCATGGGCCATCATCCCCCCTGCATCCCTTAATACAGCAGATTTCAAGCTTCTATAAAATTGCAACCTGGGAGAAGAAGTGTCTTTTATAAACATTTAGCAGCAAACTCAATATACATTTTGGCCAAACGCCCACTGGCCAGTTGTTTAAACAATATTTATCCACAGCCGAGAAGCAGAGGAGAGCCAGAACTGAGGTCGGAGCCGAGCTCTGATGCGTCTCTAATTTCTCGGGATGTTTCTGTCCCTGGGGTTGGACGCCTCTGACCTTGCAAGGTGTGGTGTGCTCTGATACCTGTTCTGTGTCACTGGCCAGTGATCAATAGATCATGACCTCCTGAAAGGCCTGTCTGTGGCTGGGACCGCACGCCTTTGGCCTCATGCACGCTGGGCACCGATCTGGGCCTTGGGTTGCAAACAGTAGCAGGTAGACCTGGTTTCTGCCCTCAGAGAGCTTACGGTCAACAGGGGCTGCTGTGGCAGCAGAAGACACCCCAGGCCTGGTACCCTTTGCGGAGCCAGCGCCATGGTCCTCCTGCTTGGGCCTGCCCTGCCCCGTTGGATGCAGAAACTCCTTGTGTGCAGGTGGGAGACAGGGCAGGTTTACAGGCTCTTTTGGTCCTCAGCTCTGCTCTCTGTCAGCACCCAGCAGAGGCCACATGGAGCGCACTGGGGCTGAGTCCAGAGAGGGAAACCGAGCCGTCCCGCCTCTGCTCTCTGCCTTCTTTGCTTGGATTGGTGCAGGGACAGCTGCCTTGAGGGCAGGCCCTGCCACGGGGACAGTGTGTGGGTGGCCCCTGGGTAGAGAAGGAGAAAAGCAGGGTACAACCAGGGGCTGAGGAAGGCTGATCTTTGTATCTCGTGGGTGCCCAGCTGGGCACTATACCCAGCAAGCCTGCGCCATGCAATGGGAAGCCACAGTTGGGGCCCTAGGCTTGAGGGGGACGATGCAGCTCTGTTCCCCAGCAACCCCATTGCAATGGGACAGAGTCCTGCCCTGGGGAGCCCCCGACCTGAGAGGAGACAGCCTCTTCCCCTCTGTATCTTATGCCCCTGAGGCCAAGTCTCCTGGCTAGGAAGGAAACTGAGGCTGGGAGGCCTGAAGGCTGAAGGCATTGGCCTCGGGAGCACGTGGCTTGGTGCAAAAATGTGACAGACAAGCTCAGAGGCATGTGAAAGGGAGAAGAAGGCATCCCCAGCTCCTGACCCAGCTCCGCTTCAGGTCGGGGGCACAGGAGGTGGGCCAGCAGGTTGGACAATTAAAAGCTTTGATGAGGCCAGGTGCAGTGGTTCATGCCTGTAATTCCAACACTTTGGGAGGCCGAGGTGGGTGGATCACATGAGGTCAGGAGTTCAAGACCAGCCTGGCCAACATGGTGAAACCCTGTCTCTACTAAAATTACAAAAATTAGCTGGGTGTGTGGTGGCGCCACCAGGGAGGCTGAGGCAGGAGAATTGCTTGAACCCAGGAAGGGGAGGTTGCAGTGAGCCGACATCATACCACTGCACTCAAGCCTGGGCAACAGAGTGAGACTCTGTCTTAAAATAAAATTTAATTAAAAATTTAAAAAATATTCAGGCTGGGTGTGGTGGCTCTCACCTGTAATCCCAGCACTTTGGGAGGTTGAGGTGGGCAGATCACCTGAGGTCAGGAGCTCAAGACCAGCCTGGCCAACATGGGGAAACACCATCTCTACTTATAATACAAAAATTAGCTGGGTATGGTGGCACATGCCTGTAATCCCAGTTACTAGGGAGGCTGAGGCAGGAGAATCACTTGAACTTGGGAGGTGGAGGTTGCAGTGAGCCGAGATTGCACCACTGCGCTCCAGCCTGGTAACAGAGCAAGACTCTGTCTAAAAAAAAAAAAGCTTCAAAGACAACCAGCAAATGATGGCAGGGACAGAGAGAACTGAACCCATAGACTAGGGAAGCATAAACACTGGTACATCTGGGAGTGGCACAGCTTAGAGGACCTGGAGCTTGGAGTGTGAGAGGGAACTGGAGTGAGGGACAGCAGACCAGGAAACTAGAATATCAAGCTGAGGAGTCGAGAGCTAATGTGGGCAGTAGGGAGCCATGGAGGGTGTGTGAGCGATGGAGGGCTGTGGCCAGAGCTGTACACGTGGGGAGACGTGGTGGTTGGGGCCTGCCCAACAGACTGATCCTGGTGCTGGGCTTGGCTTGGGGGTGCAGACGTGGGAGGGCATGGCACAGGGCGTGAGTTATCCTGCCACCTGTGCCCAGGCCTATGCAGACTTTAATCCCATCACACATAAAGCCCTTGGGTCCAGGGAAGGTCAGCCCTGGATACAGAGGTGGGTTGGGGTGGGTGGCCACCATGTGAGCCATGCCACCTGCCTTGTGCCCACTACCTCTGCCTCCTGCCTCCCCACAGGTGACCATGGCCTTGCTGGGCAAGCGCTGTGACGTCCCCGCCAACGGCTGCGGGCCCGACCGCTGGAACTCTGCCTTCGCCCGCAAAGACGAGATCATCACCAGCCTCGTGTCTGCCTTAGACTCCATGGTGAGTGTCCCCGCCCGCCCAGGAGGAGGGGACATGGTGAGCACCCCCACCCTGCCTTGTAGCTCAGTCCTACCTCAGCCACTCGGAGGAGCTTTTACTGACCTGAGCCTCAGTTTCTCTGACTGCAGCTAGGGCCGCGATGTCCAAGTCAAGGATGGGAGACTTAAGTGAGATCCGGTACGTAAAAATCTAGCCCTGGCAGCTGGGCGTGGGGGCTCACACCTGTAATCCCAGCACTTTGGGAGGCTGAGGTCGGCAGATCATGAGGTCAAGAGATCGAGACCATCCCGGCCAACATGGAGAAACCCTGTCCCTACTAAAGATACAAAAATTAGCCGGCCGTGGTGTTGAGAGCCTGTAATCACAGCACTTTGGGAGGCCGAGACAGGAGGATCACGAGGTCAAGAGATCGAGACCATTCCGGCCAACATGGAGGAACCCCGTCTCTACTAAAAATACAAAAATTAGCCGGGTGTGGTGGCCCGAACCTGTAATCCCAGCTACTCAGGAGGCTGAGGCAGGAGAATCACTTGAACCCGGGAGGTGGAGGTTGCAGTGAGCCGAGATCATGCCGCTGCACTCCAACCTGGGTGACGGAGCCGGACTCCATCTCAAAAAAAAAAACAACCATCTAGTCCTGGAATAAACACTGGCTCCCGGCCCTTGTCCCCTTGTCCCTCCACCCCTCTTGCATTCCCACTTTGTCCCTGGGGTGAATGAACCACCTGCCTGTCTCCTAGCAGGTGACCTGGGGCATCATGTGTGGGCAGCCATTTTGAACTTGGGTGGCAGAGGTTGCAGTGAGCACAGATCATGCCGCTGCACTCCAGCCTGGACCACAGAGCGAGACTCCGTTTCAAAAAAAAAGCTGTAATGCCCAACATGAAAGCAGGAGCTCTAACTGCATCTCGCGTGGGCAGAGAGAAACGGGACTTTGTATCGCTCCTGGTGCTATTGCCTGCATGCCTAGACCTATAGCAATTTATCCCAGATGAGGACATTGTAATATCATTTTCTCCAGCCTTTTCCTGGAGGGAAGTTATGCAAGTGTTAAGAAAAAAAAATCTGGCCAGCATGTTGGCTCATGCCTGTAATCCCAGCTCTTTTAGGGGCCAAGGTGGCTGGATCAGTCGGAGTCAGGAGATCGAGACCATCCTGGCCAACATGGCAAAACCCCATCTCTACTAAAAATACAAAATTGGCTGGGCATGGTGGCTCATCCCTGTAATCCCAGCTACTTGGGGGGCTGAGGCAGGAGAATCACTCGAACGCCAGAAATGGAGGTTTCGGTAAGCAGAGATCGTGCCTCTGCACTCCAGCCTGGGCAGAAGGAGACTCCGTCTCAAAATAAATAAATAAAAATAAATAAATTAGACTGGTGTGGTGGCACCTGCCTGTAATCCCAGCTACTCAGGGAGGCTGAGGCAGGAGAATTGCTTAAACCTGGGAGGCAGAGGTTGCAGTGAGCCGAGATCACACCACTGCACTCCAGTCTGGGGAGCGAGACTGTCTCAATTTTAAAGGGCTGCTTAGGTGGCGTTTGGGGCAAAGGTAGGAGACACCCCTGGGAAAGTGGCTGGGTGCCAGCCTCTACACAACGACCCCGCCCCTATGCAGCGTGACCTTCACGAGGAGGGGCCCCCAGGAGCTCAGCCCTGTGTCCCAAAGCACTGCTAGCTTGGCGGTGGTGGAGATGTGGCTGACATGGGCAGTGATGATCAGTGCCATGGTCACTAGCGACATGTGGTTATTTGCTTTTATTTTTTTGAGATGAGTTTTGCTCTGTCATTCAGGCTGGAGTGCAGTGGCGTGATCTCAGCTCACTGCAACCTCCACCTCCTGCGCTCAAGTGTTTCTCCTGCCTCAGCCTCCTGAGTAGCTGGAATTACAGGCATGCACCACCATACCTGGCTAATTTTATATTTTCAGTAGAGACGAGGTTTCTCCATGTTGGTCAGGCTGGACTCGAACTCGCAACCTCAGGCGATCTGCCCGCCTCAGCCTCCCAAAGTGCTGGGATTACAGGGATGAGCCACCACGCCCGGCCTATTTATTTTTTGTTGATACGCCAGTGTTCCCACACAGAAAAAGAACAGCAAGGTTTTGTTTTTATCTTAGTGAGGAGAAAATGAGTGCCCCTGGGTGTTAATTTTCCAGCAGGGACCCTGGAGGACAGGCCTCCTGGCCCCATGCCATCCACACCACTTCCTAACCAGAGCAACTCCTGGCCAGGGCTGGCACAAGAGGCAAGATTGTGGCCCAGAGAGGTCACCTGTCCTGGGTCACACAGCACAGAACTGCAATTGGAAGCCAGATTTTATTTATAGCTGCCAGCACTACCGGACTCAGGTGAAAACCGGCATTTATCAGGCACAACTGCATGCCACAGGCTTCACAGTCAGGGTTTTCCTGGTGAGGCAGGTCAGAGACTTGAGATGCTGGTGGTATTGGTTGCCGGGCCACCCCATTAAGGCCTCTGTGCCATGGGGCTGCGGACCTCGACTCTGGGGCCGTGAGCATAGCCAGCTGCCCGTATACCTGTATAGAGTGGCCCGGTTTAGAGATCCTTTTCCTCCAGCCATTGAATCCCCATACCCAAGTCCAGCGGCACTGTGCGGCTGGGCTGCTCGTCCCCAGTTCTACAGATGTGGAAAGTGGCCAGCCACAGTGTCACTCCTGTAATCCCAGCACTTTGGGAGGCTGAGGTGGGTGGATCACCAGAGGTCAGGAGTTCAAGACCAGCCTGGCCAACATGGTGAAACCCCCATCTCTACTTATAATACAAAAATTAGCCGGGCGTGGTAGCAGGTACCTGTAATCGCAGCTACTCAGGAGGCTGAGGCAGGAGAATCGCTTGAACCTGGGAGGCGGAGGTTGCAGTGAGCCAAGATTGTGCCACTCCAGCCTGGGCGACAAAGTGAAACTGCACCTCAAAAAACAACAAAATAAAACAAAAAAACAGATGTGGAAACTGGAGCCCAGAGGTGGCCAGGGTGGGATTGCAGCCCCACTCTGTCCGATCCCTGCTTCTCCTGCGGTTCTTCTCACCTCCCCCTCATCGAGGACTTCAGAGGGACCAAGAGAGCCCAGCACGAGATTGTCCCTGGGGCTGGGGCTAAGGTGGACTAAGGACGGGGACCTTGGAGGGAGGAGCAGAGGACATCTGTCCTCCTCCGGCCCCCCATCACCAATCCCTGGAGGGTCATTCATTCATTCCCACTACAAAATCTAAGACCAAGAACAGTGAAGGGACCATCTGTCCCTGGAGCTGCTGCTGGGGTCTCAGGCAGCTGGGAGCTCACCTCCCACCCCGGAAATGGGTACTAGCTATGTTTGGAGTGGGAGGGGTCCTTCCGCTCACACACCCTGCCCTTCTCACAGTGCTCAGCGCTGTCCAAACTGAACGCCGAGGTGGCCTGTGTGGCTGTGCACGATGAGAGCGCCTTCGTGGTGGGCACGGAGAAGGGGAGAATGTTCCTGAATGCCCGGAAGGAGCTGCAGTCAGACTTCCTCAGGTTCTGCCGTGAGTACCCCAGGGTGCCGGAGGGCCGGGCCACCATTCCCCCAGGGCAGATGCTCCAGCCCGTCTCTGAGTCCCCAACCCTGTGTAGCCAGGGTGGCGGTGTGTGGGAGATGAACTGGGCAAGCGGCGTTGTCTGAGATTTCCGACGTGGTGTTACCGAGGCAGCCATGGGTTTTGATGGAATCACTCAGCAGCCCTGGAGCTGATAGACGCTGGCCGGGTGAACCCCAGGCTGGGCCGGAGCCAGTCACTTCCCTCTGCCTTTTCCAGATGGGGACACCAAGGCTCAAGGTTGCCCAGTTCTTCCTCTTATCTGTGTATCCCTGAACACAAGGACCAAATGCACTTCTTCCAACACGATTTTTTTTTTTTTATGAGATAGATTCTCGCTCTGTCGCCCAGGCTGGAGTGCAGTGATGCGATCTCGGCTCACTGCAACCTCTGCCTCCCGGGTTCAAGTGATTCTCCTGCCTCAGCTTCGCGAATAGCTGGGACTACAGGTGCCCACCACCACACCTGGCTAATTTTTGTATTTTTAGTAGAGATGGGGTTTCACCATATGGGCCAGGCTGGTCTCGAACTCCTGACCTCAAGTGATCCACCCACCTCAGCCTCCCAAACTGCTGAGATTACAGGCGTGAGCCACCACACCCAGCCACGTTTCAGTAAGATTTATTGAAAGCCTACTGTACGTGGCGTCCTTTCTGATGCTAACTCACTTATCCTGACATCAACCCGAGGAGACAGATGCCGTCATTGTTAAGTCACATCTTAGGCCAGTGCAGTGGCTCATGTCTGTAGTCCTAACACTTTGGGAGGCTGAACTGGGAGGATCACTTGAGCCCAGGAGTTGGAGGCCAGTCTAGGCAATATATTGAGACCATTGTCTCTACAAAAAATTTAAAAACCAGGCTTGATGGTGCACACCTGTAGTCCCAGCTGCTTGGGAGGCTGAGGCAGGAGGATGACTTGAGCCTGGGAGTTCAAGGCTGCAGTGAACTACGATGCCACCACTGCACTCCAGCCTGGGTGACAGTGAGACCCCATCTCAAAAGAACCATGGTGTAGCATGAGGTTAAGAGAATGGGCCGAAGCTGGGCACGGTGTGGCTCACGCCTGTAATCCCAGCACTTTAGGAGGCTGAGACGGGCGGATCATGAGGTCAGAAGTTCAAGACCAGCCGGGCCAATATGGTAAAAACTCATCTCTACTAATGATACCAAAAAAAAAAAAATTAACTGGGCGTGGTGGCACGTGCCTGTAGTCCCAGCTACTTGGGAAGCTGAGGCAGGAGAATCGCTTGAACCTAGAAGGTGGAGGTTGCAGTGAGCCGAGACTGTGACACTGTACTCCAGTCTGGACGACAGAGCAAGACTCTGTCTCAAAAAAAAGAAAGGGAATGGGCCGCCTGGGCCCACACCTGCTGTGCCTCAACCTGCTCATCTGTGAAAGGGGAGAACGGGTGAGTCTGAGGGTTAAACAAATTCGTACCTGGCAAGCACTTAGGGCTGTTTCTGGCACTTGGTTCCCACTCAGTAGACACCAGCTGTTGTTACTATGATTAGTGTTCACATCACATCCCTAAGATCAGCTGTGTCAGGGAAGGGCATCCCCAGCGCTGGGCCTATCATTACTGGGGTGCAGTCATGCCCCCAGCCAGTACCCCCAACCCCACTCAGCCCCTCAGAGCCTAGACCCTCTCCCAGGCCTGGATGGGGGCCTGTGGCTGGGTAGAGTGGACGGCAGCAGGGCCTGTGGCCCCAGCCTCCCAGGGCCCGGGGCGGTGCACCTGACTTCTCCAGCCAGGCAGGGCCGCTATTTATAGCACCGGGAACTCAGCTGGTTTATTTCAAGCTCCGCAGATCCCAGAGGAGAACAGGCTCCAAGCTGCGAGGGGGGCCATAGGCCCCTCTTCTCATCTCCTTTCCAATGCGACTTCTAGCACATTCCCCAAGGATCCACCAATACTCTCAGGTCCCCACCCTGGCCCAGCCTGGCATGAACCTGCTGATTGCAACCCACGGCCTCCTTGGCACAGGGGCAAGGGTGCCCACTGTCTCTCCCTCTGGCAGAGCAGAAAACGGGGACATAGGTTAATCAAGAGGGTGTTTGTGTCAGAGCACAGAAAGGCGTGGATGGGGCCGTGCGCAGCGGCTCACGCCTGTAATCCCAGCACTTTGGGAGGCCGAGGTGGGTGGATCGCTTGAGGTCAGAAGTTTGAGATCAGCCTGGCCGATATGGTGAGACCCCATCTCTACGAAAAATACAAAAATTAGCCAGGAGTGGTGGCACACACATGTAATCCCAGCTACTTGGGAGGCCGAGGAAGGAGAATCGTTGAAACCTGGAGGTGGAGGTTGTAGTGAGCCGAGATCGCACCACTGCACTCCAGCCTGGGTGACAGAGCAAGACTCCATCTCAAAAAAAAAAAGAAAGGCGCGGATGGAACAAACATTCGTCAAACCCCAGTTTGGAGCCAGGTAGCTGGTCCCTCCCATGAGCATTCACAGACTGAGGCTCAGAGAGAGAAGGGACTTAGCTAAGGTCACACGGCAAGTTAGAGGGGACCAGAGGTGAGGCCCAGCCCTGGCCCTGAGCGGGGTGGTGGGAATCGGGCTTGCTCACTCATTAGTTCTTCATTCATTCACTTGTGTATCACATTGGCTGCCAGACTCCGAGGCTCAGCACAGGGCAGAGACATCCCAGCTCGAAGGCTGTGGGTGGTGACATGGGTGCTCACTGTGGCCTGGCGTGCTCTGTGTCCCACAGGAGGGCCCCCGTGGAAGGATCCAGAGGCAGAGCACCCCAAGAAGATGCAGCGGGGCGAGGGCGGCGGCCGGAGCCTTCCACGGTCCTCGCTGGAGCACGGCTCAGATGTGTACCTTCTGCGGAAGATGGTAGAGGAGGTGTTTGATGTTCTTTATAGTAAGATCCTTCCTCATTCCATTTGGGGGCCCCAGGGAGGGTGGGAGCCCAGGTCCCAACCAAGCAGAGGGGGCCCCCTCCTGTCCCAGGACGGGCCCTGGGCAAAGCCGGACCCCAAGGCATGGGGGGTACTGGCTACCCCAGCCCCCCCTCATCTCTGCATTCCCAGGCACAGTAGTCTGCTCCAGCCATTCCTAGACCGCCACCCCTGCTGTCCCTGCCCTGGTTCAAGTCACTGCCACCTCTCGCCTAGAAATAGGCCCGGGCTTGCTATGGTCTCCCTGCCTCGAGGCCAGCTCCCCACACCTTCCCTGCAGCCAAGGGCATCTTCTCAAAGCACAAGTCTGATCCCCTCCACAGCCTGGGGGGGAGCTCCCAGTCACCCTGAGCATGGCACAGGGGCCCACACACCCATCCTCACTCCCTCCCCACCTTCTTCTCCCACCAGACAACAGGGCCCTACTGACCTCCCTACAGAACCACTTCCTGTTCTCCAGCCCCCGCTGGTTCATTTCACATGCCCTGGCCTTGGTGTGTGGCATCTTTCGAGACGGCCTTTCCCCTCCTCTGTCTGGCGGACACCTGCATGGCGCAGAGGCTCAGCTCCTGGAAGCCCCCTTGCAGTGGGTTACGCCCCCTGCTCTTGGCACCCACAGTGCCCTGTCCCCTGACCAGCCCAGGAACTCTCCAGGGTCAGGGACTGAGTCTGCTCTTCATAGCTGTCTCCAGCCTGCAGTTCAGGGCCCAGCAACAGCAGGTGCTCAGAGAGTGTTTGTTGAATGACTAAGTGAAGGCTGATTGCTCAGCCACGTCTCTCCTGCAGGGAGAGGAAAGGAGATCTGGCCTCCCTGGGGAAGTGTCAGGTTGCAGTGGGCTTTGGGGGGCCCAATGGTGGCCTTCACACTCCCTGGGCAACCTTGGGCAGGTCCCTTTGGTCCTCAGGGTCCCCATTCATTTCTGATTTGGCTTTACCCTTCTCTTACTGTAGCCTTTGGGTTTTATGGAGCAAGGGTATTAGAAACAGATGCTGGGTGCTGCAAAGAAAAATCAGCACTGAGACAAAGGATTTTTCAGCAATGCAATTTTTACTTCCTGCACTGCGGGAAGGGTACCCTCGCCAGCCATCTTGCCACGAGAGTACAGTGAACAAAGGAAAAGCAGACTTATTTATCCCTTACGCATTTGGGGTCGTCCTTCCTGCTGTGTCTGATCTCCGTTGCCTGGAGCCAGACCTCACAGTCTAAACTAAAACCCGACTGGCTAACAACTGAAAACTTCTCTAAACAGGTAAAAGCAATGGAGAGCTGGGACATGCCTGTGAGCACGTCCAGCACAGACACCTTGGTTACAGTACAGGGACATAGAATGTACTACGTGCCTGTAAGCATGGCACGTCTCACAGCTACATAGGATAGGGCTCAACAAAGTTATTAGCGCACTTATGTTTTTTTAACCAGAATGGAAACTTTAAAAAGGAACTTTTCTACTTCCCACAAAGGGTCTGCAAGGAAACTTCTGCTGTTCTTATGTCAGAAGGAGAGATACCCAGTGGCCCCGGGTGGTCACGCTGGCCTCCCTGGGATGAGGACTTGCCATGCATGCCAGGCTGTGCCCCTGTCGACACGTTCGCCAGCTGCAGGGCTCATGCACAGTCACCTGTACCTCTGCTCACCTTGCCCTGGCCCCTCTTGTCCACTTCGGGCAGAATTCAAGGAGGCTGTGAGAGCATAGGCCTCTTTCTGGCTCAGGGTGGGGGCTGCAGCCCCGGGGGTGACGTCCTCCGGTCCCCAGTCCCCCGCCTGCCTCCCCTCCTCTGTGCCCCCCGGCCCCATCTTTGTGCCTGCGCCATCTCTGTCTGTCTCTTCCTCCTCTCTCCCGTCTTTCTCTGAATCCCATATTTCTGCTCCCTCTCCGCTTCCGCTCCCTCTTGCTCTCTCTCCCCACTCTCAGGCTCTCTCTCTTCCACCTTACACCTTTTTTTTTTTCTTCTGAGACAGGTTCTCGCTCTGTCGCCCAGGCTGGAATGCAGTGGTGCGATCTCGGCTCACTGCAACCCGCCTCCAGGGTTCAAATGATTCTCTGCCTCAGCCTCCCGAGTAGCTAGGATTACAGGTGTCTGCCACCGTGCCCGGCTAATTTTTGTATTTTTAGTAGAGATGGGGTTTCATCCTGTTGGCCAGGCTGGTCTCAAACTCCTGGCCTCAGGTGATCCGCCACCTTGGCTTCTCAAAATGCTGGGATTCCAGGCAGGAGCCACCGCGCCCGGCCCTTACAGCTTCTTCCTCGCAGCCTGGCTCACGCAAGTCTCCCCTTCTCCGTCTCTTGTGCCCTCTCTGCTCCCGCCAGATTGTCCCCCTCTGCTTTGTCCTCTGGGCCCTTGCAGTCCCCGGTTTCCCCTCCAGCCAGGTGCCCAGAGTAAAGAGGGGCTTGGCCGGGGAGGGCAGCAGGGAATCCCTCAGTGGGGGATCCCCAGCCCCTCGGGTGTAGACAGTGGGGCCTTGTCCTCAGCCCCCACCCGCCCAGCCCACCCCTAGCTTCTAGGTGGTTCTTCTGCACTAAGTCTGCAGCTGTGAGGGATCCGTGGGAACCCCGCACCAAGGGGAGCCACTTGACATTGCCCCTGCTCTGGGGCACAGCGGCCCCGACCCCAGCCTGGCTGTTCTCTCATACCAGGCCCTTCTCCTGTACTCCCCCCTGCAGGTGAGGCCCTGGGAAGGGCCAGTGTGGTGCCGCTGCCCTATGAGCGGCTGCTCAGGGAGCCGGGGCTGCTGGCCGTGCAGGGGCTGCCCGAGGGCCTGGCCTTCCGGAGGCCGGCCGAGTACGACCCCAAGGCCCTCATGGCCATCCTGGAACACAGCCACCGCATCCGCTTCAAGCTCAAGAGGTGAGTGAGGTAGCCAGCCTGAGGCTGGGGGCTGGAGGTCACTTAGCCAGAGGAGAAGGGACTTGAGAGGCCCATAGGACACTCTGGCTGTGAAAACTCCTAGTCTGATGGTGGAGGTGAAGTAAAAGCGAAGTCATAGAGCAGGATCTGAGCCAGGCCCTTAAGCCTTGGGAGTCTTCCCAGGGAACTTCTGCACTGCAAAGAGATTAGGAGAGACATGACTTGGGACAAAATAGCACCAAAATGGTTGAGTGCAGTGGCTCACACCTGTAATTTCAGCCCTTTGGGAGGCTGAGGTGGGAGGATCACTTGAGGCCAGGAGTTCAAGACCAGCCTGGGCAATGTAGCAAGACCCTGTCTCTACCAAAAAAAAAAAGAAAAAAATTACCCATGTGTGGTGGTGCACACCTGTTGTCCCAGCTATTCAGGAGGCTGAGGCAAGAGGATTGCTCGAGCCCAGGAATTTGAGGATGCAGTGAGCTGTGATTGTATCACTGCACTTGAGCCTGGGCAATAGATCAAGGCCTGTCTCTTAAAAAAAAAAAAAAAAGGTGGGGGGGCGGGCACAGTGGCTCATGCCTATAATCCCAGCACTTTGGGAGGCAGAGGTGGGTGGATCACGAGGTCAGGAGTTCGAGACCAGCCTGGCCAATATGGTGAAACCCCGTCTCTACTAAAAGTACAAAAAACAAAATGTAGCTGGGCGTGGTGGCATGCACCTGTTGTCTCAGCTGCCTGGGAGGCTGAGGCAGGAGAATCACTTGAACCTGGGAGGCAGATGTTGCAGTGAGCCAAGATCACGCCACTGCACTCCAGCCTGGGTGACAGAGCAAAACTCTATCTCAAAAAAAAGGTGGCATTTTTAGGTGTCAGAAGCGGGAGAACCACGTCGTGTGCTTGCTCAGGTTGTAAATCCAGGGTTAATTAGGGACCCACAGAAGATTAGGTTTTTGAGGCTGGTCTGAGGCAGTTCCAATTAGGAGAGCCAGGAAAGCAGCCTGGGGGCTTTAAGGCTGAGTCCATTGCTGCGAGGCGCCCCAGGCAATGTGGAGGCAGGGAAGGGGAAGGGTGCAGCGGGAAATAGGAGGCAGTCGGCTGCACCTGGCAGGACCTGATCTGTGGACTGGAGCAGAGGTGCTGCGCCCAGGTCCTCCGGTGGCCCAGATCTGTGGCCCTGGACACCATTCCCACCTCTGAGCCGGCATCCCCACCTCTAAAGTGAAAGACTAGCTCCTGTCCTGCCCTCCTCCTGGGACCACCGTGTTCTGTAAGGGGTGGGGATTCAGGGTTGCAGAGGAAGAGATGCAATGTGTAAAACAGATGTACAAAGCTGTCCATGTGTCCTCTCCTTTACCCAGGCCACTTGAGGATGGCGGGCGGGACTCAAAGGCCCTGGTGGAGCTGAACGGTGTCTCCCTGATACCCAAGGGGTCACGGGACTGTGGCCTGCATGGCCAGGCCCCCAAGGTGCCACCCCAGGACCTTCCCCCCACTGCCACCTCCTCCTCCGTGGCCAGCTTCCTGTACAGCACGGCGCTCCCCAACCACGCCATCCGAGAGCTGAAGCAGGAGCCACCTTCCTACCCGCTTGCCCCCAGCGACCTGGGCCTGGGCCGGCCCGTGCCAGAGCCCAAGGCTGCCAGTGCCCAAGATTTCTCCGACTGTTGTGGTAACACTGCTGCTGGGATCTCCAAGTATGGGGGTGGGACAGAGGTCACGTGTTCAGGGGACATCCTCCCAGGGCAGGGCAGGATGCCCAGGCCCTCCTAGGTTGGAAGGAGCCATGTCTGGGCAGGGGGATGGGGCTGGACAGATGGTGTCCGGGCTGAGACCCCCTGGGACCCTGGGTCTCTGCTCAGCCATCTGTGAATGATGTCCTTGGCCTTGGACTAAGAGATGCCTGTGAGGACTCCCTGGGTCCCAGCCACTCAGGAGGCTGAGGCAGGAGGATCACCTGAGGCCAGGAGGCTGAGGCTGTATTGAGCTATGATTGCACCTCTGCACCCCAGCCTGGGTGACAGAGCACAACTCTGCCTCCAAAAAAAAGAGCACCAGCAATATTTCAGGTGTCAAAAGTGGGAGATCCACATCACATGCTATAAAGGAAGGAGGCATACGAGTCATCCCCATGCATCCAGTGAGGACCCACTGCAATTCAATAAGGACCCACTGCATACCCAGCCTGATTAGGGCACTGGGGAAAGTAGGCCCCAGGGTGGACAGGACAAAAGGAACAGCTGCAGGTGAGGAGCACCTGGACTCATCTCCTGGCTCCTCTGCTTAGTGGCTGTGTATCCTGGGCAGATCTCCACTCTCAGCCTCAGTTTCTTCCTCTATAAAATGGGGATGCTAGCAGGACCTGCTTCCCAGAAGTGTTATCATGATTAAGTCACAGATCGGTGGCAATAGCATCTCCCGAGAGAGGGTTAGAAATCCACATTCTCAGGCCCCACTGCAGTGAGGCTGAATCTGAAGCTTTGGGGAAGGGACCCTGTAGTCTCTTTGCACAACTCTGCCAAGTGTTCCAATGTGCTCGAGTTTGAGAGTCGCTGTGTTAAAGCACTGGTCTGGCCAGGTGCACCTGTAATTCCAGCTCTTCGGGAGGCTGAGGCGGAAGAATCACTTGAGCCCAGGAGTTCAAGACCAGCCTGGGCAACATAGCAAGATCCTATCTCTACCAAAAATAAATAAATAAAAAATAGCCCTGGGTCTAATGCTTGGCTTGTAGTAAGTGCTTGTAAGTCATATTCACTATGATTATTACTTATTATTATTCTAAGGGGCAAAAAGCCCAAATATGTGAGCTGACCAGGGCTTCAAGCTTATACACATAAAACAAGTGTTCTTACCTGGAAAAGGTGCCTCTGACATCCCTTTCTTGATAATCTGGCTTTTGGCTGGCAGATTCTGGTACAGAATATCTTAGGCCTCTGGTCAGGGACTTTGCCCTGAGTTGGCGATCATAGGAATCAGTTCTGGGGTCTCCCTGGCAGATGAGGCTGTTACCCCAGAGCCAGGGCCTGTGCGCTGGGGCCAGCTCTGGGGAACCCTCTTGGGGCCCACCTGGAACCTGTTTCCTTCTCTGCCTTGTCCAGGACAGAAGCCCCCGGGGCCTGGTGGGCCTCTCATCCAGAACGTCCATGCCTCCAAGCGCATTCTCTTTTCCATCGTCCATGACAAGTCAGGTAGGACAGCGCCCTTGCAGCACCCCAGCCTGAGTGGGAATCGGGGGCTGGAGGCGGTGCTCACTGGAATGGAAATGTGTCTCCTGGGTCTTTGTGAGAGAAAGGAGGAACAGCTGTGCTCAGGCAGCTGTGAGTAAAGTGGGGTGTACTAGTTATCACTGCTGTGTGATAAACTACCCCAGACTAGGCACGGTGGCTCACGCCTATAATCCCAGCACTTTGGGAGGCCGAGGCAGGAGAGCTGCCTGAGGCCAGGAGTTTGAGACCAGCCTGGGCAACACAGTGAAACACTGCCTCTACAAAAAATAAGAAAAATTAGATGAATGTGGTGGTGCCTACCTGTAGTCCCAGCTACTTGGGAGGCTGTGGCAGGAGGATCACTCGAGCCCAGGAGTTGGAGGCTGCAGTGAGCTATGATTGCACCACTGCACTCCAGCCTGGGCAACAGTAAGACCCTATCTCTAAAAAAAGTTATAACAAAAAATAAGTAACCCCCAAATGGAGCTTAAAACAAGTGTTTATTACCTCATAGTTTCTGGGGGTTGGGAATTCAGGACCGGCCGAGCTGGGCAGTGCTGGATCAGGGTCTCTCATGAGGTTGCAGTCAAGATGTCGGCGGGGGCTGCCGTCATCCAAGAGCTCAGCTGGAGCTGGAGGAGATGCTTCTGAGCTCATTCACGGAGCTGTTAGCAGGAGGCCTCTGTTCCCACCATGTGGGCCAGCCTTGGTGGGGCTGCTTGAGCATCCTCACAACATGGCCGCCGGTTCCCTGCAGAGTTCTTGATCCAAATGAGAGGAAGAAGGACGCCACATGGCTTTTATGACCCACCCTCAGAAATTACTGTCACTTCTGCCATATTCTATCCGTTAGAAGCCAGAAACACGATCCAGCCTGCCCTCAGTGGGAGAGGAGTTAAACTCCACCTTTTAAAGGAATCAATACATATACGAAAAAAAACAAAAAATGTGGACGGATTTTTAAAGTATCACACAGAAGCCCTCAGTATAGAAAAGTGTGGGATTCTGTTATACCAAGAAAGAATGTAGCAGGACTTACCAGCAGTTTTGCTTTGTGAGGCTCTCAGTTTCACCTCCAGGCAGAGGTTCTGTAAGAAAACCCAGTCCTAGGCCAGGTGTGGTGGCTCACACCTATAATCCCAGTGCTTTGGGAGACGGAAGTGGGAGGATGACTTGAGACTGGAAGTTCTAGGCCGGCCTAGGCAACCTTGTGAGACTCCACCTCTATAAAATTTTAAGAAAGAAAGAAAACCCAGTCTCCTGGGATCAGAATGGAGACCTGCCCCCCTCCCCACTCTCTCCACTGCCACTGCCCCAAACAAAGTCTAGCCTTGGTGGGAACAGGACCTGAATATCAGCATGGAACAGCAGCATGACGGGCCCGTGGGCCAGGGGGCACAAGCTGGGATAGAATCTCACTGGGTTATCGCAAGCAAGATACTCAGCTTCTTTGAGCCTCAGTTTTCCTACCTGCAAAATGGGAATAATATCTCTGTTTAAAACTTGTCATAAGGAATTAAATAGGATAATGTATATATATATAAAGTACTTATCACAGATAAGCACTTAACAAATTAAAGTTGTTACTTTTATTGATTATAAATATATCAACAATCACTTATTATTCAATCAAGACAGAGGTTTTGAGAGGCCAGCAGAGCTGAGCTTTTAGGGGAAACCAAGAAGGCCAGTGCTGAGTGAGACCTCAAATGTAGGAGGCACAAGGATTAGATTCCCAAGAGCAAGACTCAGGCCTTAGCCAGACGTGGTGGTGGGCACCAGTACTCTCAGCTACTCAGGAGGCTGCAGTGGGGGGATCGTTTGAGTCCAAGAGTTGGAGGCTGCTGTGAGCTATGATCACACCACTGCACTCCAGTCCGGCCAACAGAGTGAGACCCTGTCTGTAAAAAAGAAAAGAAAAGAAAAGAAAAAAAACAGCTGGAGTGGTGGCTCACTCTGTCATCGCAGCTGCTTAGGAGGCCGAGGCGGGAGGATCACCTGAACCTAGGAGTTTGAGGCTACAGTGAGCTATGGTTGCACCACTACCCTCCAGCCTGGGCAACACAGTGAGACCCCATCTCTAATTTTTTTTTTAAATTTAAATTAAAAAATGAAATACTCAACCTCAGGTTGGGCACAGTGGCTCACGCCTGTAATCCCAGCACTTTGGGAGGCCGAGGCAGGTGGATCACCTGAGGTCAGGAGTTCAAGACCAGCCTGGCCAATGTGGTGAAACCCCATCTCTACTAAAAATACAAAAAATTAGCTGGGCGTGGTGGTGCACACCTGTAATCCCAGCTACTCGGGAGGCTGAGGCAGGAGAATTGCTTGAACCCGGAAGGTGGAGGTTGCAGTGAACTGAGATCACGTCACTGCACTCCAGCCTGGCGCCTGGCAACAGAGCAAGACTCTGTCACAAAAAAAAAAAAAAAATACAAAAATTAGCCAGATATGGTGGCACGCATCTGTAATCCCAACTACTCTGGAGGCTGAGGCAGGAGAATCACTCAAACCTGGGAGACAGAGGTTGTAGTGAGCCAAGACTGGGCCACTGCACTTCAGCCTGGGTAACAGAGTGAGACACCATCTCAAAAAAACGGAGGGGTTGGCGGGGGCCAAGCTCGGTGGCTGACGCCTATAATCCCAGCACTTTGGGAGGCCAAGGCGGGCAGATCATAAGGTCAGTAGTTCGAGACCATCCTGGCCAACATGGTGAAACCCTGTCTCTACCAAAAATACAAAAATTAGCCAGGTGTGGTAGCAGGCACCTGTAATCCTAGCTACTCTGGAGGCTGAGGCAGGAGAATCACTCAAACCTGGGAGACAGAGGTTGTAGTGAGCCAAGACTGGGCCACTGCACTTCAGCCTGGGTAACAGAGTGAGACACCATCTCAAAAAAACGGAGGGGTTGGCGGGGGCCAAGCTCGGTGGCTGACGCCTATAATCCCAGCACTTTGGGAGGCCAAGGCGGGCAGATCATAAGGTCAGTAGTTCAAGACCAGCCTGGCCAACATGGTGAAACCCCATCTCTACTAAAAATACAAAAAATTAGCTGGGCGTGGTGGTGCACACCTGTAATCCCAGCTACTCGGGAGGCTGAGGCAGGAGAATTGCTTGAACCCGGATGGAGCCAATACACTTCAGCCTGGGCAACAGACCGAGACTCCGTCTCAAAAAAAAAAAAAAAAGACTTGCCCTCTTTTTCTGCTGGGAGGCCTGCTCTTCCTGCCTCCTGTATGTCTGGGGTAGGATGGGCTCGGGGTGGACAGGCTGAGCCAGCACTGACACCACACCTGTGGGAGAGGCCAGAGGCAATGTCAGAGCAGGAGGAGAGGGCAGATGGGGGACCATCAGAGCACCCTGCCTTCATGTACACTCTGTGGGAGAGGGTGGAAGGGCTGTGGGCTGGGGCCGGCCTCGGGGGCTCTGGAGGTAAAAGCCCGGGGGTCGCGGCCGGTGGAGGGCGTGCGACTGTCCCTGGAGGCCCTGCTCACTTGTGCCTCCTGTGTTTTGATAGAGAAGTGGGACGCCTTCATAAAGGAAACCGAAGACATCAACACGCTCCGGGAGTGTGTGCAGATCCTGTTTAACAGCAGATATGGTGAGTGGGCGGCGCGGCCCGCCGTGTGGCCCCAGCAGCCGTGTTGAGCATCTCATTACGTGGCAATCACTCGTGTTCCCCAACACGGCAGCGGGAGCCATATGCTGGCTCCCGCGCGCCGGCAACGCTAATGTCATCCGGCTCGGGCTCCTCCTGTCTGGGTAGGGGGTGGTTGTGTCAATATTTCCCTTCCAGATTCTTCAGGGGGCGGAACTGATGGCAAAGCCCCAGACCTGGGCTCGGCGGGGGGGAGCGGGGCAGGTTGGGGGCAGAGATTGCCTGTCCGGGGGCCGGGTGCGGTGACTCATGCCTGGCATCCCAGCGTTTTGGGAGGCCATGGTGGGAGGATCACCTGAGGCCGGGAGTTCAAGACCAGCCTGGGCAACATAGTGAGACCGCCCATCTCTACAAAAAAATTTTAAAAATTAGGCCACATGCGGTGACTCATGCCTGTAATCCCAGCACTTTGGGAGGCGGAGGCAGGCGGATCACCTGAGATCAGGAGTTTGAGACCAGCCTGGCCAACATGGCAGAACTCTGTCTCTACTGAAAATATAAAACTTACCTGGGCGTGGTAATACACACCTGTAATCCCAGCTACTCAAGAGGCTGAGGCACAAGATTTGCTGGAACCCAGGAGGTGCGGGTTGCAGTGAGCCAAGATCATGCTACTGCACTCCAGCCTGGACAACAAGAGCAAAACTCCATCTAAAAAAAAAATTAAAAATTAACCACACGCCTGTGGTCTTAGCTACCTGGAGGTTGCAGGGGGAGGATTGCTTAAGCCCAGAAGGTTGAGGCTGTGGTGAGCTATGATCACACCACTGCACTCCAGCCTGGGCGACAGCACAAGCTCTCTACAAAAAAACAAACAGAACAGATTGCCTGTCAGGGGAACCACTCATAGGGCCCAGAAAAATCTCTGTTGGCTTCACGTGCAAGTCCCGTATGACAGCACGCCATTTCCTGCCTCCCTGGCTTTACCCGTGCTGTGCCCTCTGCCTGGCACACTGTTTTCATGTTTTACGGACAAATTCCTAATTGTTCTTTGAGACTCATCTTGGGAGTCACCTCCTCCAGGACGCCTTTCAGTGCCCAGCCTGGGCTGGGTAGGCCTGGGTACCCTGATGGTTCCCTCTCTGTGACACACTGGGAACTTTTTTTTTTTTTGAGACAGAGTCTTGCGCTATGCCCAGGTTGGAGTGCGGTAGTCTCGGCTCACTGCAACCTCCACCTCCCAGGTTCAAGCAATTCTCCTGCCCGAGCCTCCTGAGTAGCTGGGATTATAGGTGTGTACCACCACACCCAGCTAATTTTTGTATTTTTAGTAGAGACGGGGCTTCACTATGTTGGTCAGGCTGGTCTCGAACTCCTGACCTCGTGATCTGCCCACCTCAGCCTCCCAAAGTGCTGGGATGACAGGGGTGAGCCACCGTGTCCCGTGACACATTGGGAACTTGATGCCCCCTTGTCTGCCGCTGTCTCCCTGAGGGCCAGGACTGCACCTGACCCCTCTCTTTGTCCCTAGCACCCAAGACAGAGTCAGGGTCAGAGCAGATGGCAGCCCACCTCACTCTAGAAAGAAAATGCAAGTGGTAGGTGCTGTGGCTCACGCCTGTCATCCCAGCACTTTGGGAGGCCAAGGCGGGTGAGTCACTTGAGCTCAGGAGTTCAAGACCAGCCTGGCCAACATGGCGAAACTCCATCTCTACAGAAATTCAGAAATTAACTGGGCATGGCGTGGTGGCGGGCCCCTGTAATCCCAACTACTCGGGAGGCTGAGGCAGGAGAATCACTTGAACCCTGGAGGTGGAGGTTGCAGTGAGCCAA